TTTATGGTAACCGCCTCAAGTGTATCAACAGTTCAGTTATGACGCCCGACACTAGATAAAATATGAGTTTATCATGATCTGTTTATTCTCTAATACATGCGTGAGCTTGCAGAAACGTGGTAGATTATATATATACAAAATGTTCACCAATCGTCAGGAATACAAGTACACGGGCATCATTTTTTTTCTTATGGCCCTCTACCGACAGTGAGATGATAACAGTCACCCGTACCATATACCGTCATTTCCCGTTATTTCATGCGCTCTCCCGCTCTTGCCTCCTCGCGTGGCTCATTTCATGGTTTTGTAAGTTTTCCCCACTCTGAAATCTTGCCTTCAAGTTAAGTTCACCGTGTACGAGCTTAACCTTTGCTTAACCCGTCATCAAGATTGCAGTTTATACTACCTCTATAAACACTACAACTAGCATACGCGTCGGAGGGGGAAACGAACTTATGACGGCACGTGGATTATCCCTCAAAGCGTTTTAAGTTAAGTATAAGCAAACCCCACACTTCTTTGCATGCTTAACAAGACAAATTGAATTCAGGTAAGATATATTTACAAACTAGTTGATACATTCCCTGCTATCAGTCTGCTTTGCATGAGAAAAAGAGGTGGAGAGGGTATGCCTGAGACACCTGCTTCTGACGCAGTAAATTAACAGAGCAATCTCATCTGAAGAGAGGGGAACAACTAACGCAATCTGTCAAAGTTTTTTCATTCTGAGCAGTTTTTTTTTTCTTACCATTATAAAGGGTTGTGTACAATTAGCAAATAATCGTGGCGTAAGTGTAATACTTGAATATGAACAATGTATTTCAAAGTATGTAATGTCAAAATACAATATTTGACGTTTGTCCATCACGTACATTCTCATACCACTAACGTTAAAAAGCTACGGCGCTATAAAAGCAGGCACTTTCGTTATTTTAATATGTGATCTCAGTTTCAAGTTCGGACGTCACTCACTACCGTGACGTAATTGTTGGATACCGTGACGTCATTCTAGTGGCAAATACCGTAGCAGGCATGCTGGATGGCGTTGAACTGAAGGTTTGAAGGACAGCGTAGGCGGTATGCTACCCACTTATCATACGACCTGATACACACGTAGTAAGCCCCGCATTCCGTGACGTCACCATGAAGACCCGCACTCGGGCACGAAAACACTGCAGTTGAAATATACAGATTTAGATTAGAACACGAATACGTTCTGTACCCCATAAACCTGTACGAGTTTTAAAAAAATTACCCTTTACCTATTATTATTGGGTAATTTTCTTACAATTTATGCATTAAATTTTCTTATTTTCTACAATTTTTGCAATAGAAACTTCCTATTTCTTTAAATATAAACAGTACTACAATGCCTCTCTAACACATTTACAGGCAGAACACAACCTTCCTTACCTGGTGGTATTCTGACGGGATAATTTCCACGGGCATGCCCATATCCAGTGTGTCCCAAAACTGTCGAATGTGGCTGGCGAGTAGTGTAAATACTACTTGGATGGCCTCGTCGAGTCTGTTCATGATAGAGAACAGGTTTGAAGGGATGAAACCCGGGTCTTTGGTTGGGTGTTCTTAGAGGTCCGTGCCCCTGAAAACTTGGACCCTGTTGGTGGTACCCTGGGGTACTGGGTGCCCTATGGGGTCCGTGCGTGTCATAACCCAAATTTGCTTTTGAAATGCTCTGCAATCTGTCCCCTTGCCTTGATGTGGGTGCGCGCTGTGGTCCTTTCTCATTGAACAGTTTACCGACTTTGTAATTACCACGTAAGATCTCGTTTATTCTCGTGAGAAGGGGGTAGGGTCCCTGGTTACAGCCTTTTCCACTGAAGTCATCCATTTCTACCGACCAAACAAAAGCTCCTCCCAGATTTCTAGACATGATATTTTCTGCCTGGAAATAATTATGTAATATTACGTTATAAATGTATATGTTACCGTACAATAAACAGCAACTAATGTACACGTCATGTGTCCGAACAACAACAAGTTTGTACCACAAAGCCAACAAAACCAATATGATCGGATGTAAGTGATGAGCGCCGTAAAAATCGGAAATAAGAAACCCTGCCACACAACGCCGAGGTTGCTCGTATGAAAGTACCTGCCAACAGCACGGTAGCATTACTGTTAAAATGTAAACTAAGAATGTAAACTGAGAGAGAGAGAGAGAGAGAGAGAGAGAGAAAGTGGAAAAAGAGAGGTGGCCTACATGCCTTATAAGTTACGCTCTCCACGTCGTCATATCCGCCCCACTGACGGTCACCATAGTAATATGGACTCATCTGGTCTGCGATCCAAGCACGGTTCCACCTGCCGCTTCTTAGGTTCTGGCAAATCTGAAAGTTGACAATGGCAGAAAAATAACAGGCTATTGTTAAGCTATAAAGACAAATATTCCTGCATTAAAAAAGAAACAAAATACACAAGATATGGATTCGAATTGCATTTTGGTGTGTCGTGAAAATCAATGGTGAATTGTATCTTTTATCTCTGTGTGTGTGTTGAAGTTACACCAACAATGGCCAACGGAATACCAAACCATTCCTCATATAGTCTCAACGTTTTGTATACTGTATCCATACATGTGAGCAATAAGATTTAATGAGAATTGAAAGTTATTTTCTGGGACACAAAATTTATCATCGGTTTACATACGAATGTATGCTACAAGAAACTTTGACCAGAAGGTGGTCATTACCTCGTAGTAGGCCATAACTCCAGGCTCACGTGTGTATTTCCCGCCTTCTCCCGCGCCGGTAGCTGGCGCCATGAGCCCGTGCTGGGTGGGGTCCCTGAGGGTGAAGGTCATAGAATATGTTGCTATGCCAACAATTATTTGCTCTTTTCGCGCTCCCTTCCCTAGCCAGAAGTCAATTGTCCATTGCTAATGAAAAAAAGACTTTGTTATGACGACATTTCGATTAGATTTGCTGATGTAAAAGTGTAGCAAAGGATACTTCGTAAAAATTGGAATAGATGAAGTCAGTTTGAGATAAGACAAGACGAAGATTTATTAAGCCAATAAATATATGTAATATACATTATTGGGATTAAATTGCCCTGCAAAAGCGCCATTGTGCTTAAATAAGTAGTAAGAATGAAATAATGTTAAGGCGTAGTATAAAAAAGGAATACAGATGGAGGAGAAATGCGAAAAAATCGTTGTTGAAACTTATTTTAAAAGATAGCTACAATTCGTATATTTACCATTATTTTACTACAGTGGGCATGACACATTGTATGTGCAACATAGACATTGTAATCCAGCGTTGACATCTCAAGACATTATTCTGACATGGTACACCTTTTTGAATCAGGAATGACATATGGACAATATGGCCGACAAAACGGACCCCACGATACGGACAAGGAAACAAAAGGGGGGGGGGGCACGTAAGAGATGGAGGGATGAGACAGACGAATATTTCAAGAAATTAAATTGGAAGTTCGAAGCCTAAGATAAAAGACACTGGAAAAAGTATGTCGAGGCCATTAACCAACATTGAAACACTATAGGCCCTCAACGCTGATAGTGATGATAATGATAATAATACCTGGTTGAGTTCCCTGTCCCTGTCCTTCTCGTCCGCCCTGGGGTACAACCCACTGTGATGTCCCGTGAACTTCTCCCACATCCCGTGGTAGTTATACGCCATAAGCAGGAAGTAGTCCACGTGGCTACCGGGAAAATAACATATTTTGTACAATTATATACAGGCATTTGCATTTTTTCAGAGCAAGTAATATTTTTTACAGCCGACTTTTATCCGTTGTAAAAGATATCTAACCTCTTTGCATGCATCTTTTCGTAATTAATCCTCTCTCTTTCTCTCTTTATTGCAGAACCTGCTCTAATACTGGTATCATAAGTGAGGTACGTTCTTAGCTATGCCATAATGTTTATTTGTAGCTAACAAACCGAATGGCTAGCTTTCAAGAAATATGAGACTCTGGATAGACGCTTGTAGACGCTTTTATTTTTTACTTCATAATGTGTAAGAGAAGAAAAAAGATTTCATATCACACTATCGATAATGTGCCTTACGGTATGAGCAATTCCGGTTCGTAACTCTTGCTAATAAAGTACATGCCGCCAGCTGTCGCTAATGTCAAGAGGAGTTTATCCTTTCCCGAGATCTGGGCTTCACTGCGGAAAGCCTCTTGCAGTTCCTGGATACAATGTAAAGATGTCACAATATTCTAATCTAAATTGTTTTCTTATGCACATTCCACCAATCATAAGATGCTATGTACGTAAAAGAACAAAAAAGAAGTACAATAGTACAAACAGTGGCGATTTCTGATTTGCACGGCGTTTGCACGTGGCCAGTCCATTAAAAGTTTTGATAATAAATTTAATTTTCAGATAATTTCTGCAAATATTGTATGTCTGTGTCGTCTTCGTAAAACCTCTCGGAATTATCTCTAGCTTACCTTCATTAGCTTTGTAAACCTCTGTTTATCCTCTGGGGGACTACCCCTGGCGCCAGGAAACTCCCAGTCCATATCAAGGCCGTCAAAGCCGTACTTCCGGAGATATCTGACCACGTTTCTCACCCAGGCCTGTCTGTTCTCTACGCTGGACATCATGGGGACGAACTGCTTGGAGCCCTGGGCCCAGCCACCCACGGCCAGGAGCACCTTCAGTTCCGGGTTCCTTTGTTTCAGTGCTACGGTTCTCTCATACAGACCTAGGAGGGGGTGTGTCGGCTTAATAAAGCTTGGTTTTGTTGCAGTGGATGAAAATAGGCTCCCGTGCGTTTGCTTTTTTAAGGTACCATTAAGGAGCCATTTTTTTGTGCAAAATTATTACAACTGATAAAAACGTTTGTCTCACCAAGACAGTTGCGTTTGAAACTTTGTGGGATATATGTGGTTTTAAATTAACGCAGTGAAATAACTTTAAAGATGCTTTTAGTCAGGACAATAAATACATTGGCTCTCATTTGCATATGACAGTTACGTCACACCTATGTGACGAATATGACGTCAAAATTATTTCCTCTGTAATTGACATGATCTCTTCTCGTTACTTACATGCATCTTTTTTCTACCCCACCTATGACAAGCTGTAAGCAATCGCATGACACTTACAAGGGCGTTCTTGCGAAAAAAACTTTGGCATTATTATACCTCCATTCCAGAACATTTCCCCCCTCCCACCCATCCCCCTTACCCTCCGCCACCCCAGTCCTCACCTGGCTTCCCCCCACGTGATATGTGATTTCGATTGGAAGGCTTCAGATTTCTTCCGTCGGGGGACACATCCACGAAGGCAAACAGCACGTGCGTACACAACTGAGGGTTTATATCCTCAGGAAGGAAGCGCGCCATGCCCTGCCTGGACTGGGCAAAACTGCTGTAGTAACAGAATATTTTCTTGTCGGCTGGAAGGAGAACAATTGAATGGATAATACTGGTAATCAGAAAATTGTCAACTTATCTGCCTGACTTTACTGTGAATACCGTACATGCATACATAAATTGTTGAAAATTGAGGAAACTGCAATATATTGGGACATTGATGAAGTACGTATATTTATGTAACCAATATAGTTTGTTATTATTATTATAATTTAACGAATCGAATGATACGCTCGTCAGGACAGTGCAGTCTTTCATACATGGTAGTTACTTGTTACTATAATGTTTTCTGTTTAGTTTTGCATTCATTACCTTTTGTTGGTGCCCATAGCAAGCAAGCCAAGGTGACAAGGTAGATCAAAACCTTAAAAACAAATATTGAGAAGAAATGACACTTTTCTTCGAGATTGAGAACCTATTTTCAGACCTAATAAATTGTGCTAGTATAGAAAATAATGTATCAATATCATTTACAAGTCTGTCTCATTTTCACTCTTTCAGCCGTTAGTTGCTTCCAGTCGTTAGTTGCTAATTTCATATATTAGACGCGGGTTCTAAAATTTGTAAAAGGTGTCAGAATTATCATAATAAATAATCATTTTCACGTATTCTGTAATATTGGGCCGTTTGGGATGTCTTTTTATAATTCATGGTTTTATTCAGCAGAAACAATGTAACATCGTTAATAAAAATAAGCAGTTAGCATCAAACAGACAAGATCATTTGGAACAAACGCATACTTACAGTTTCTATCTCACTTACCTCGGTCATCCTCGTCTTGTATATACAGTAGTCCGGGTGTAACTTTTTCACTTTAAATCACCAAGAGTAGTTTGTATGTCTCTCTACGATGTCATTTTGATTCGCCTTTTAGATCTGGTTGACACAAGGATGCCGTCCCTGTGACGTATTATAGGTCTATTGGGCGCTGCCCACACTCGTTATAGGACACAGGTGTGCTCTCATAATTAGTAATTACCGTACGGTTCACAATATTCGCGCAGGTCATATCACCAACGTCGTCTCTCTCTGAAATGGCTTGTTTAAAGCACGTAATTTATACATTTTTTTAAAGAAGAACAGGAGATAACGATTTTGGGGGAATTTTATAACTACGAATCTTTGATGCATCACAAAATAGCCTGTCGTTAATTCACCAACGGCTAAAACGTTCATATTACGGTCTACAAGTATGCGATTTCTCAGTCGCAGCTGTTTCCTAAGACGCGGGGCGTGGTTGCTTGTCTGTACTGTTAGAATGTCATGGCATGCTTTGGAGTTGAACACTAACTTTGGAGTTTTACATTAGCCAATATACCGACCTAAAGATTGAGAAAGGGAATTCCTCGAAGAAGCTTGGAATATAAGGAAGATATAACAGATTTGAGGGTTGAAGTTTCTTCTTGCAATGAGATACGAGTATATTTTGCGCATCCTGTCCAATGATTTTAAAAACTTTTCTCAAATATTGATTCCTTTTAGGACAAAAAAAACATAAGGTCGAGGTATTTTTAGAAATGTATTATTGCCCCACCAAACATAATTACACGGTGTGCAAACAGGCACCTCTGTCACCTCCGGTAGACCTAACACGACCTTGGTGACACAGCTTGCAGTGGATGCCACATTAACAGAAACACATATATTGAATGTAACAGCTGAGATGTAGCAACACAGATTACACTGGCAATATTAAAATATATGAAAACTCTCTCACTACTTTGATCCATCTATTTAACATGTAAATAACAGGGGCGGAGCCAGGATTATTTGAAGGGGGTTTCGGGGATGGGAAGTCGACCCTCCACCCCCCACCCCCACCCTCTCGGCGTGGGGTTCGGGGCCCGCTAAAGGGCCCGAAAATTTTTGGTATTTTAGAGGGCGAACGGTGCCATTTAGTACGGTTTAGAACTATGATTTAGCTGGTCAAAATTTTATTTCAAGAGGGGAACATTGGTGTGATTTTTTTTTCAAAAATCGAAGGGAGGGTCAGGACCCCCCTGAGCCTCTCCCCTAAATCCGCCACTGGAAATTGGGCCGTCTTCCACACTTCAACATTCGACTCGTTCCGATAGCCTACGAGACAACACTGACAGCCTAGTGCATAATTAACCTGTTTATTCCCCAGCGCAGTTTCACAAAGAGCAGTTTTCCAGAAAGAAGCATGGTGACAACACCATCCTCAGAAATCACATTCGATTGCATAAAGATATCATGCTTTGTGTGTGTTTGTGTGTGTGTGTGTGTGTGTGTGTGAGAGAGAGAGAGAGAGAGAGAAAGAGAGAGAGAGAGAGAGATGACTGCAGTCATTCTGTCGTTCACACATACAAAGTAAGGGGTCTAGTATAAAATGGATGTGTTGTGCTTCGCTATCGCAGTCTTCTGCAGAAACATTATGAATAGTAACTAAGCAGGGGAATAAATCGAACTTTAATTTGTTTAATCTGTTTTATGTTATGAAGTCGAAATTTATAGTGGTTTTAATATTTAGCAATGTTTTTATCTTTATTATTCAGTAATTTTATCTGAATGTCCTTTCATGTCTATGTATCCATCCAACCGTTTTTCGGTTTTCCAGATATATTAATAATGATAATAATTATTATTATATTTTATAAATCACTGGAATAACATATGTTTGGGTGAATGTATATCATATACGTTTCTTAATTCAGTGTAAAGTCGCAAAAAGTTAGAAATGGTTTTTGCCAGGTATGCACAGGTGTAACATTTCAAGCACCTCTGTTTGTACTGGTACAGCTGTTGTAAACTTGCGTTCTTTATTGTGAAATGTGTGTTCAAATTAAATTTTAAATACTCCAATGGAAAAGAAATAAAAAAGAATTGCTCGAAAAATGCATGGTCACAATCTAAACAGCAACGCCATGTTAATGTTTCTGTATCTAGTTGACTTTAACAACAAATCCCCGCGGCGTGTTTACACTTGGCTTAATACAGAGCCCAGTGGAATTAAAGGGGTCCAATTTGGCGTTTCTGCAGCTCCAGGTCTTCACTTTGGGTACCTAAAAATGCTCTGGGCCTGAATTCAATTAATTTCATGGCATAAAGCAGCCAACTTGTCTTCATACCCAGTTAACAATACCACACTAATTTTTGCACTCTTCCAAAGAGAGGTATTTTTACCAATTTTGCAATGTGCGAACGTTCTCCGTCAATAATTATAGGGGATTCTCAATAAAAATTATCACTTATATTAATTACTGCCGCTGATTTTCACTTCAGCGTTAAAGTTCAATTAAGTTAGTGCAAAAACGTAGAAGACCGCTTAATTCCATGAAAACTGTTGCTACACAACTCAGGTAACCATACACGGCTTAATGTTTGCCGATCGTTTTGATTACATTCTTATCATCACAGAAACACACCACATCTGAAAACCACACTGTTTTTTGTTGACTGGGTTTATTATGACCACCACAACTGGTTCTATTTGTGGATCGATTGTATTTAATGTCACCGTATTTAATGTCTCACTCAAAGACCGTGGAGCGTTTCTTTTCATTTGATTACATAGCTGCCTCTGGCAACGACATGCCAACAATCTCGCCTTTGATCCCATGTCGATACCCGTGGAAATCGGGGCTCCCAATGTAAACGTTGACGTGATCGATTAGTTAAAGAGACAGCATTCATTCACGCTCGTGTCCCCGGGGTGGATGGATTGAGGGGGAGCGGCTCTACAGGGTGCTTAGAAAGCAGAATACACATTAAAGACTTTTTAACTGCGCACAAGCAATAAATCAACGTACTCAGTTCACTGGAAGACGTTCAATAACGTCTATGAACTGAAGGCGTATGGCTTATTGTTTGGCGAGTGCTTAATGCATTGTGTAAAGCGAAATAAACATCATTTGTAGTTTACATAGTGCTCTAGCTCTCTCCCCGCCTATGAGCAAAAATCAAGAAGATGCCAAATTAACAAACAGATTTAGCAGGTCAATATCCTAGCTACATCGTTCACTGGACTGACCGATAGCCACAATACATTTGGCCGTGTTTCCCTGCTGGAGCGTGGCCGTGGAAATGAAAAGAAACAAACGCGTAATGTTTACATAATTACGACGCGGTGCCCCCCTTTGTGAACCCGTGGATTAAGTAGTGGTGATTAAACACACAATCCGTGAATCGATTGCCATTCAGCTGGTCCCGAGGCAACACTCCACAGTGCAGTGTCACTGAATAACGTAGGTGGCAGAGAAAAAGCACGATACACTTATTACTTTTCACTTTGCGCTGATACCTAAGGAAAGTCGTAGCTAAACTGGAAACAATCTGAAAAGATTGACAGACACCGAATGACGTGGAGGGGGTAGTGTCACCGTGTACATGGACGCAGATTAACGGTGACTTGTGTCAGTACGAGGCACGAACCAGATCAATCAAATGGGCCCCAGGTGAGCGCCAGAAGACAGTTAGATCCTGCACCAAACGTCCACACCCTCTGTTCAGGTAGCTACAGGTGACATGTATTAACGAGGTGATCCGAAACGTAAGAATCAGTTGTGAAAGAAGACCGAAAACAGTGTGGATCTAACCACTATGGCGACGCCTTAAGGAACACGGCTATTTCTTCCCTGAGAGGACACCGTTATAACAGTGATCATTGTGGAAGAGGATACTAACTGACATTAACTGTAGCCAGTAGAGACAATAAGGATACGAAAAATAACCAAGAGGGATCTAGAATCTACAAAGACATGGGTTCTGGCTCTAGTACGTCGAGGCAGAACAGCGCCAAGAAGCAAGTACCCCAAGACAACATGAAAGACGTGAACCAAAATCAGCAGAACCTCAAGGAACAGAGGAGAGTGGAGAAGACAGAAAATAATCAAATCAACCACGAGGACAGGCGCGTCCGTGAAGAGGACGAGGTGGGCAGCTTAAAGGAGGATCTGGACAGAACAATTTCTAGAGACTACGACAAAATGCCCCCTAAGAGGGGCAGTAGGTCGACGCTAGATAGCGGGATCAGTAGAGACACATCAGACGGGTTATTGAGACACGAGCACACGGCTTTAAGCCAGCAAGAACAGGAGGATCTGATTCTGAACGAGTTTCACTCCTCCGAGACGGAGGAGTACCCAGAGAAATACGCCGATAGACTGAGGAAACAGCAGCAACATGACACCGTGGCGTTCGCTCTGGGACGAGAAAAGACGGTGTTGGTTCGGAACCCGGAGGAATGGAATATCGATACTTCTCCGGTATGACCAGTTTGTCGGTGGTTTGCCCAGTGGGAGTAAAAGTGGCAGTTTGAGTGCGCTCAGGATGGGAGGAGGNTCTAGCTCTCTCCCCGCCTATGAGCAAAACTCAAGAAGATGCCAAATTAACAAACAGATTTAGCAGGTCAATATCCTAGCTACATCGTTCACTGGACTGACCGATAGCCACAATACATTTGGCCGTGTTTCCCTGCTGGAGCGTGGCCGTGGAAATGAAAAGAAACAAACGCGTAATGTTTACATAATTACGACGCGGTGCCCCCCTTTGTGAACCCGTGGATTAAGTAGTGGTGATTAAACACACAATCCGTGAATCGATTGCCATTCAGCTGGTCCCGAGGCAACACTCCACAGTGCAGTGTCACTGAATAACGTAGGTGGCAGAGAAAAAGCACGATACACTTATTACTTTTCACTTTGCGCTGATACCTAAGGAAAGTCGTAGCTAAACTGGAAACACCCTGAAAAGACTGACAGACGCCGAATGACGTGGAGGGGGTAGTGTCACCGTGGACATTGACGCAGATTAACGGTGACTTGTGTCAGTACGAGGCACGAACCAGATCAATCAAATGGGCCCCAGGTGAACGCCAGAAGACAGTTAGATCCTGTACCCGATGTCCACACCCTGCGTTCAGGTAGCTACAGGTGACATGTATTAACGAGGTGATCCGAAACTTAGAATCAGTTGTGAAAGAAGACCGAAAACAGTGTGGATCTAACCACTATGGCGACGCCGTAAGGAACACGGCTATTTCTTCCCTGAGAGGACACCGTTATAACAGTGATCATTGTGGAAGAGGATACTAACTGACATTAACTGTAGCCAGTAGAGACAATAAGGATACAAAAAAAAAAAAAACAAGTGGGATCTGGAATCTACAAAGACATGGGTTCTGGCTCTAGTACGTCGAGGCAGAGTAGCGCCAAGAAACAAGTACCCCAAAACAACATGAAAGACGTGAACCAAAATCAGCAGAACCTCAAGGAGCAGAGGAGAGTGGAGAGGACCGAAAATCAAATCAACCACGAGGACAGGCGCGTCCGTGAAGAGGACGAGGTGGGCAGTTTAAAGGAGGAACTGGACAGAACAATTTCTAGAGACTACGACAAAATGCCCCCTAAGAGGGGCAGTAGGTCGACGCTAGATAGCGGGATCAGTAGAGACACATCAGACGGATTATTGAGACACGAGCACACGGCGTTAAGCCAGCAAGAACAGGAGGATCTGATTCTGAACGAGTTTCACTCCTCCGAGACGGAGGAGTACCCAGAGAAATACGCCGATAGACTGAGGAAACAGCAGCAACACGACACCGTGGCGTTCGCTCTGGGACGAGAAAAGACGGTGTTGGTTCGGAACCCAGAGGAATGGAATATCGATACTTCTCCGGTATGACCAGTTTGTCGGTGGTTTGCCCAGTGGGAGTAAAAGTGGCAGTTTGAGTGCGGTCAGGATTGGGGGGGGGGGGGGGCACTTAAGGGGTTTGGGGGGAAAGAGNCGTAACAAGTGCGCCCTAAAAAATAGGTAACCCGACACGCGCCATGCATGGCTACGCAATGCTTCTATCCTGCTACTTTTACAGGTAAACAGAGAAATATAAAGAGTGACCAGGTTATGAATTATGAAGTTAATAAACTCGAGTTCGTGAAGTGATATTTATGAAGGTCAAGCCTGTGTTACGATTCCTATAATTTAAAGAATAATCCAGGTTTTAACAGGCAAAGGGAGAAATATAAAGAGTGACCAGGTTATGAATTATGAAGTTAATAAACTCGAGTCATTGTGAAGATATTTATAATGGTCAAGCCTGTGTTACGTTTGTCATAATTTAAAGAATAATCCAAGTTTGGTTTTCTTCACTATGAATAAAAAATTTGCAAATTTATAAAACTTCCTGGAAACAACATTTATGGGTACTAGGTGGAAAGTAAGTAAAGAGATTGAGTTTACCAGCTAAAACAGTTTTAATTGTAAAAATAATAAGAAAATAGATGCCAGCGATTAGCGAACATATGTAACTGAAACATTATACTTCCATATATTTCCATAACTTTGATGTGTATAAAGAGAAAGCTAAATAGCTGACGCCGTTCCCCATTGATGATCTGAGTAAGGCTAAATGTGTTGACAAATCCTTGTTAATGAAACTCTACACCGGCACCTGTAATGTATACACATATTTGACCATATAGTGTTGCGGAAATTGTTCGTCCAAAATTCCATTGATTCAGTCTACAAAGCAGAATATAAATTGGGCCGGAATATTTAGATACATGTAATACTAGCCATTGGATAGAAAGGCAATGCCACTAAAGTGCGGTGTAAGATGTCGTGTACACAGTTTGTGTGGCCAGGGCAGTTTGTTATTATAACTGATGATGGAAGTTGACTTATTAAACAATTGTGGTCTTGGACCATTCGAAGGGAGAAGCGACCGCGGCTAGCGACACCCACCAAGAAGGAGAATGAAAAATTCCCAGTTTCTTCAAAAGTAGATGTTCTTTCTGCAGAATCATGACAGATCCATCACTGTAAAAATGCACATCCGGGAATCTTTCTGTGAAGATTGGGTGCTAGGAACAATGGAACAATTTCTCGTGCTGCTTCTGCACAGCTCTAGTCAGGTGGTTCCTTCTTGGTTAGTTACGATATTTTAGTAATAATAATAATAATGTTAATCTTCTTTTCACCTCAAACCAAACTGTGTTGCCTAAGTGAAAACTAGGAATTGGTAACCACTATGAGACCATACAATAAACATGCAGTGCTTTAAATATGGCAATAACTTATGTCAGAAATACGGTTCATCTGAACACTTGGCTGGATAGACAGCAAGATACTGGGTAGATGAATGAAAGGCGACCTGGGCTCGATACCCCCTCCTCCCCCCCCCCCCCTCCCTCTTCCCGACAGAAATTCCCTAGCCGATTCCTCTGTCGGCTTTCCACCCTTGGTACCATAGCATCCACTAATGAATGTTGTCTGTGTCCTAAAATAAACCAAGACATTTCTCATTAAAGCATTATGTCATTAACAGTATTGGATTTGGAGGCTTCTCAACATTATTACACAGCACAATGTTTTATTCATACCGGCCGTTGTAAGGATTTCTGTTCCAGCAGCGCTTGTCCAATAACTCGGTCCGCGTGTTCGATAGATGTTTTATCTCCCGTGATGAGACTGAAACCCATTCAAAACACGTAGGCTGCAGAAGCCAAACGTAGATTAGTTCGTTACCCAAGGGATTCCGGCTGTTTTCCTGTTAATTGTACGCCATATTGACGTGGGCAGAAACATTGCTCAGGTATGGTGGCGTCCCGTGGCGTCACGAGTTTCTAAATTTTGCAGCTTACTTTTTTTTAAGGTGAGAAAAATTGTTTTGGGCACATTTTGAAGCTTCCCCTTGAGGAGCGCTGTGAACTCCACATTTTTCCACCGTTCATTGTCCTAAATATCTTAATTTCGGATCACTCCACCCGTAGTCAATGTAAAGTGTCGATAAAATAATTAAACACTCTCAGACAAGTTAGCTATTTTTCCACTTGCCATTTTAAGTAATAATTAATGAAGTTCCTTTCGTCAGCCCACTTAAAAGAAACTGGCGATGTATTTGTAATGGATCAGCCGAAGTATATTAAAGATGTATAACGTACTTCACCTTTAAGTGACTCTTAACAGTACCTGTTTCCCGAAATAACATTAGTCAGTTCTTTGGTTACAGTTGATCCTTTTATTCGGTTATTTATAAATAATACAACACTTTTGGTGCACTGGCTCACCTTTTTCCTTTTATATTTCAGAGAGAAACAGATGGCTTTGATCCCAACAAATTCAAAGCAGTGAATAAGACGACAGTGGTAAGACATTTATATCAATATTTGCTTCTTATTAGTAAGCCGCGAGTGACTTGATCAGTAGACATGGTAACGGAATATTATAGAAATTACACAAAAGTGTTTCACGCAACATGCGAAAGTTTTTTTTTTTTTAACTGGTTAAAGACAAGTAATAGTGTGCGGACATAATATTTGGACCAGAATTGCAAAGATATTATTTGACCTTTATCGCTAGAACACCAATGGTTTACATCATCATCATCATCACGATAATAATAATAATAAAAATAATAGTAATAATAATAATAATAATGATAATGATAATAATAATGGTCTATTCAGCCACTGTGTGTGTGTAAGTGTGTGTGTGTGTGTGTGTGTGTGTGTGTGTGTGTAAGATACTTATAAAACTGAAATCATATTTCCATTTCAAAACAAAACGAGCTAGTCGGACAAAGAATAAAAAGATAACAGACGTCAATTAAAATACTGTTTACTATTAAAAATATGCAGTAGTTAAATAAAAGCTTTTTAGACACCATTTTGGAACAGGCAGTTTGCTTGTACGGTTCATCTGCATTGTAAAACAGAGGTTAAAGTTGTGATTCACTTATTTCCAGGATGTGACAGACAACAAGGAGGACGAAGCAGTGACCACAGAACCGTCACACGGTAAGTTAATCACAGGGTAGATCCAGGATTATTTGCAAGGGGGGGCGTTTTTTTTAGGAATGACAGGCCATGGACGGCACCGCTCAACCCCACCCCAACCCCCACATCATTAGACCCGTCTCAACCCCACTCCCCTTTATCCATCCCTTACCAATCTACTC